ATGAAACAAAAGTTGGTTCTTTGAAAAAATAAACAAGATCGACAGACCCTGGCAAACCTGACTAAAAATGGGAGCAGAAAAAACCCAAATTAGTAGATCAGGAATGCAAAAGGGAGATAACAACAAACACCATGGAAGTCCAGGAAATCATCAGAGACTACGTCGAGAACCTATATTCAAATAAATTTTGAAATCTAAGAAATGGACAGATTTCTAAATACATATGATCATCAAACTGAACCAAAGAGGAATTAAACCTGAATAGATTATACACAAAATGAAATTGAAGCAGCAATCAAGAGTCTCCCCAAAAGAAAAGTCCAGGACCTGATGATTCTCTGGCTGAATTCTATCAGACTTTAAAGAAGAACTGATACTAACTCTCTCCTTAAACTGTTCCACGAATAGATAAGGGAAGGAAAACTTGCCAAAAACATTTTATGAAACAGTATTCACTTATCCCAAACCCAGGCAAAGACAACCTCCAAAAAGGGAACTACAACAATCTCCTTAATAAACACTGATGCAAAAATCCTCAAAAAAAAAATGGCAAACGAATTCAACAACACCATCGAAAAGATTATTCACCACAACCAAAGTAAGGCTTATCCCAGGAATGCAGGGTGGTTTCAAATAAGGAAAATCAGTAATTGTAAATAAACCATATTAACAGAAAGGCAAAGACAAAAAAACCACTTGATCATCTTCATAAGATGCAGAAAAAGCCTTTGATAAGATCCAACATCATTCCATGATAAAAGCTCTAAGAAACTAGGAATAGAAGGAAATCTCCCCTCAACATTATAAAAGCTAATATATGACAAACCTAACAGCCAGCATTGATACCTTAAATGGTGGAACAAAACCTGAAAATCCATTCCTCTAAAATCAGGAACCCAGACAAGGATCCCACTATCTCCACTCCTCTTCACATAGTCCTTGGAATTCCCCCCTAGCCAGAGCAATAAGGGCAAGAGGAAGGAATAAAAGGAATTCAAATAGGTAAAGAACAACTGTCAAATATCCCTATTTGCAGACGACCATGTTCCTACAATTAAAGACCCAGAAAAAACTAACTAGAAAGCTCCTAGACACCATCAATAGCTACAGCCAAGGTAGCAAGGATATAAAATCAACACAGAAAAATCAATTAGCATTTCTATAACACTACCAATGAACAAACTGAAAAAAGAATGTAATGAAAACAATTCCATTTAACAATAGCCTCCAAAAAAATCA